AAAAAAAAAAAAAAAAAAAAAAAATAATAATAATAATAATAATAATAATAATAAAGGGCTCTTGTGCTTTGTTATTGAGGGATTTGTTATTAAGGGAGTTGAATTTAAATAAGAATGTGAATTAATTGTGAGTTTTATCGAGAGAGTATATCGTTTATCTTTACGCTTCTGTACATCACTTTGTGAAATAATCGACAGCCACCACTGCATACTTGACCCCTCCTTTTCTGGTTGGCAGGGGTCCAACTAGATCTATCCCCCATTTTGCAAACAACCAAAGGCTAAAAATTAGCTTCAGGGTTGTGAGGGTTGGGTAATCTTTGGTGCAAAGACTTGACATTTCTCACATCTCCGAACAAGGTCAAATGCATGGGCAACTTCCTATTAAATCCCTAAGTGCTTTTTCATTTTCCTCCTCAGTCCCCATATCTTTATTTCTTCCTTTCAACTCCCTAATTCATTAATTTTCTTCCTCCTAACTCCCTAATGTTAAAATTAAATCAAAACTAAAATGCTTTATTACATCATCCCACTAACATATTATTTTATTTGTTTTATCTTCCACCAACCACAACACATGATACTATTTTATTATTTTTTGATCAATCTTCTTCTACACCCTTTCTCTCTCCCTCCTGTCACTCTCCCGTCTTCCTCCATTTCCGCTTGCATTTTTTTTTTTTTTTGCAGGTCGGTCTCTCCGGCGACAAAATCCGGCGAGAAGAACTCCGGCAACAACAAATCTGGCCAAAGAAGTGATTCCGACGTCAAATTTGTGCGGCCAAGAATTAATTTTTTCCGACAACATTCGTGCTTTTTCCGGCCAAAATTTGAAGTAACAAGTAATATATGTATTATATGAGCATTTTGGAGTCCAAAAATCATGTTTAATTCGTATATATTTGGTTAATTTGTTTGGATGAATTTTGAAAATTATTGTTCATATTAACCCTAAATCAATTAAATTGATCAAAATCTCTTATTTCTTGTTTAGTATACGAAATTGATGCTATTGTTAAGTTGTGTAATGTGTTATTCACCCTAAAACATAAAAATGGGAATGATCACTATACCAATATTTTTGATTATTGTACCTCTGTTTGATTTATATAGTACCACTTTAATACTGTTTTGTACCATATTTTTCTGGGAAATGTGAAGTTTTTTTTATTTATCCAATAGCTATATACATGGAAGAGGCACAAAGTGATATACTAGGGAGTTGTACGTACAAGAATGAATTGTTTATGTTCTCTATGCACATTGGAGTCCAAAAATCATGTTTAATTCGTATATATTTGGTTAATTTGTTAGGGATTGAATTTTGAAAATTGTTGTTCATATTAACCCTAAATCAATCAAAATCTCTTATTTCTTGTTTGTGTATACAAAATTGATGCTATTGTTAAGTTATGTAATGTGTTATTCACCCAAAAACAAGAAAATAAGGTGGAAATGTCACTGTACCCTGATTCTTGATTATTGTACCTCTGTTTGCATGTATAGTACCACTTTTAATACTTTTTTGTACCATATTTTCCTGAGAAATGTGAATTATTTTTATTTATCCAAATATTGTTAGATAGATGGAAGGGGCACAAAGTGATATACTAGGGAGTTGTACGTACAATAATGAATTGTTTATGTTCTCTATGCACATTGGAGTCCAAAAATCATGTTTAACTCGTATATATTTGGTTAATTTGTTGGGGATTGAATTTTGAAAATTGTTGTTCATATTAACCCTAAATCAATCAAAATCTCTTATTTTTGTTTATGTATACGAAATTGATGCTATTGTTAAGTTATGTAATGTGTTATTCACCCAAAAACAAGAATATAAGGTGGGAATGTCACTGTACTCTTATACTTGATTATTGTACCTCTGTTTGCATTTATATAGTACCACTTTAATTCTTTTTTGTACCATATTTTCCTGAATGCGAATTATTTTTATTTATCCAAATATTGTTAGATAGATGGAAGGGGCACAAAGTGATGTACTAGGGAGTTGTACGTACAAGAATGAATTGTTTATGTTCTCTATGCACATTGGATCAACGCTTGGCGAAGTGTACGCTCTCATATCAAAAAGGTGGCCGAACGTTAATTTCGAATCCATCGTGCTATGCTATATTGCGCCAAAGGAAAAAAAGAGAGTTACTTTGTTGGATGATGAGGATGTGAAGAAAATGATTCGGTTACACTTTTGTTGGAAACTAAATATCGTAGAGATCATTGCCATGGAAAGAAATGAAAGACGGGATGATGGAGTTCAATCCTTTCCGATGAACATGAGCAGGTAATGTTGTTTTCATAATGTTAATGAGTTTAGTATTGAAATATGGTGTAGTCGTATCATATCCTAGTTCATTAATTTTTCAACTAGTTCCATTATTTATAAATGTTTGTATTATTTTGTCATGAACGCAGGGAAAACGTACAGTCTGATGATTTGTCGGAGGGAGAACATGAGTTGTTGCAAGATAAATCAATCGATTCTTGGAGATGTTGCCTCAAAGGAGAGAGGCAAATATTCGCTGGGGCCGACGAATTTAGAAAGAGTGTAAAAAACTACGCAATTGCAAACAAGCGGTCCTTTAAGTATCGGAAAAATGACAAGCAGAAGGTCATCGTTTGTTGTAGCGATGCGGATTGTAATGGAGAGTATATTCATCGTTATACAAAGGCGATCAGCAGTTTGCCATCCGAAAATGCAACCTCGTCCATACTTGTGGTGTGTCCAATCTTCGGACAAGGGGGCATCCGAAAGCTTACTCCATTTGGGTGTCAACTACAATCAAAGACAGACTGAGAGATGAACCAAACTACAAGCCTTGCACGATATTGAAAGATATTCACAGGGATTGTGGCTTGGAGTTGCCTTACAAAAAGGCATGGTTAGGGAAGGAACTTGCAATGCAAGATATTCATGGAGCAGACAGGGGATCTTACGACAAATTGAGATGGTATTGTAGCGCAGTGCGTGAGACAAACCCTGGAAGCATTGCCGATTGTGAGATTGACCCCGTCGAGAATAAATTCCGCCGATTGTTCATCTGCTTTAATGCTTGCCTTGTCAGTTTTTTAACCGATTGTCGACCGTTGATATTTTTGGATAGCACCCACATAAAACATAAATACAAAGGCATTTTGCTTAGTGCTGTGAGTAAGGATGCCAATGACGACTTGTTCACTATAGCATATGTCGTGGTTGATGCCGAGACGGATGAAAACTGGGAGTGGTTTTGCTTGAAGCTAAATAGTAGTTTTCTTTCCTCCCGCTTACCTGTTTCTAGAAGCTTCACTTTTTATTCGGACCGGCACAGTGGGCTACTTAAAGCCATCCCTATGGTTTTTCCTGGCAGCCATCATGCTTATTGTTTGAGACACTTAGTCGACAACTTCAATAAGCAGGTAAGAAATTTAAATTCTGTTATATTCTGTGAATAATTATTATCCTGTGAATATTATTCTGTTTAAAAATGTGAATAATTCACATTTTTCTGTGAATAATTATTTATTTATTTATTTATTTATGTTTTGTAGGTGTTGAGGAAATACCCACATTTTAATAAAAAACATTGGTCTTCGGTTTTTATGAAAGCTGCGTATGCTCCTACAAGGCAAGATTTTGATATCCATATAAATAATATTTTGACTAAGATGCCTGAAGCAATGGAGTTCCTTCAGAATTCTAACCCACAATGTTGGGCGAATTCTTTATTTGTTGGAGACCGTTGGGGAATCTGAATAATAATCAAGCAGAATGTTGGAATAACTGGGTAAAGTCGGCACGATTTATGCCTATTGTAGCCATAGTGGATCACATAAGAAAACAAATTATGACCATGATGCATGATCGGTGTGAAGGAGTGTCGCGGTTCACTGGTCAGTTATGTCCTAAGCTTGAGAAAAAAATTGCAGCTTCCTACAGTGCTTCCCGCAATGTCAAAATCAGTCAATCAAGTGAATGGAGGTTTGAAGTTGTTGATGGCGACAAAAGTTATGACGTAAATTTGCAACTTCAGACTTGTTCTTGTGGAGAATGACAACTATGTAAGATACCATGCAAGCATGCATGTGCTTGTATTGAGAGTAGGTCAATGTCTGTCTATGATTTTTGCGATCCATATTATCGTGTCGGGATGTATAGGCAAGCTTATCAAGGTACTATTAACCCTATACCTAACTACGACCATAATGTGGCATCTTCGTTGACACATCTTGATTATGCCATTCATGCCCCGGATGTAAGATCTCAACCCGGACGAAGGAGGGAAAAAAGGTTTCCTTCACAAGTTGATGTTGCGGTTAGGCGATGTAAGCGATGTGGTGGTCGTGGACACAATCGACGTACGTGCAAAGAACGTATATAGATAACTTTTGTGCTTGGCATTTGTGTTTATTGTTTTGGGAAAGTGTACTGGAAAGTGTTGTATTTTTATTTTTTTTTTTTGTCGGAATATGTATTTTGATGATACATTATTGACATATTCTGAGTATGTACTGTAAGAATATTTTGCGAGTAATGCTGCAGTACATACAAAACATTATTTACAATTCTGCATGGGTACTTAAGAATGTCAAACCAGGTACTCTCCTTTTACAATATAGGTACTAGTTTTGTGGATATATGTGTGTACTCATTTTCATTCCAAAGAGTGGGTAGTAAATGACACTTTATGAGTAGTATTTTTTTGTACAATATACTAACATTTCATACTGCAATATAGGTAATAGTTTTGGGAAGTTGTAATCGGTGTATTACATTTTCATTCCAGAAAGCTGGTACTA